TTAACCTCTTGCCCTGTTTTATTCTTTCATACTTTTCTGTGCCCCCATAAAAACATGTTGGCCCCACGCTGGCCCCCCTAGCCACTGTCTGTCTGGTACTAAATCAGATACATATCTGATAGTTTTTAAAATGTCTGCAGTCTAAATGCTTCTTTCAGCACAGCCGTCACTTTTCCATACAAGCACATTAGAGAAGTTCTGCTCTGTTTTACCTTAATTTCTCTGGTTATGTGATCATATTACTGCTGACAACTTAAAACACCTGTTATTGCATCTGCAAATAAATTTTTACATTTGGAAAATTCTGAAAAACATGGATCCTTTTCCTTTTACTTTCATTACTTTCATTGTTATCTGTTTTAGTCCATCAGATCAACTATAATTAAACACTTGCAATCTTGTGGTTATATTATGCAAAAAAAAAAAAGAAGTTCAGTGGGTGTGAATATTTGTCTGAAACATTTTGAGAAATGCTCTTTGGTGTTCAGTCTCTTCACTGCAAAAACCATCTAAAAATTAGAAAAAATGTCTTAAATTAAGTGTATTTACCGTTAATTTGAATACTTAAATAAGATAATTGGCCAATGGAATGAGTATTTTTAGTCTTAAAATAAGATAATTAGATAATATGTACTTGAAATAAGACAATGCAATTGTGTTTTCTTATTTTAAATGTAAATTGTCTTGTTCCATTGGCAAAGTGTCTCAATTACTTCCTCAATTCAAGAAAAATTTCACTTATTTGACTTATTTTTTGCAGTGTTGATATCACATGGAAACAGCACCTCTAAGCATGCCATTAAAGGTGGTGCAATAGGACACACTGATCTAGAAAAAAAACTCAACAAAAACACGTTTTATGAGAACATTGCAAGAGGAAATGTCATGAGGGGATCCACTTCAAAAAGGTTTTACATCTTCCAAGCATGCATGATTAATAGAGATGTGCCTCTGCATTCTGTTTGGTTGCTAGATTTCAGTCCTACTCTCCAAGTCTCTGAGAAAATGGCTAGAAGAAAAATGTTAATATTCATAATCACTTTATACAAAAACAATTACATAAATTACATGCAATTGTTGGATTAATTTTATAATATTTACAGATAAGTGTTTCGTTTGTAGTTTTTTTTCTTTAAGTGAGGTAAGAGTAGAACATTAAATAGCAAACTGATATAAGCTAGTTGATTATTCAAGCAATTTGTTCTGATATCCAGGCTGCATTCAGCTGAATGTCAAACAGGTTTATTCTAGTTTGGCAGCTGTAGTGATCGATAGTGCCTGTTCAAGTTTTACACCATGAATATTTTTTGTTTTTGTATTAAAAAGCAGTTTTAAAAGGCCAATTTTGGGTTGCACAGTGGGAGCAGTGGGTAGTACTGCTGCCTTGCAGAAAGAAGGTTCCAGGTTAGATTCCTGATCCAAGGTTTTTCTGCATGGAGTTTGCATGTACTCCCTATGCATGTGTCGGTTCTCTCCGGGTACTCCAGCTTCCTCCCACAGTCAAAAGACATGACCGTTTGGTTAATTGGCTTCTCTATATTGTCTTTAGGCGTAAAGGGGCTGGTTATCCTCCCGCAGCAGTGTGTTGCAGTGAGCTTGTCGCGGATACATTTTATTTATGCCCAATATTTAAGCGTGGTCTGAGCCATATTATTTCACACCACAACGCAAGAGGGACAATCAGGAACTAGCTGTGGGTCTAGATACGGCAGAGGCGGTGAGGAAGTAGGGGCAAGTTTGTGCAACAATAGAGGGACATGAGGGTGAAAAAGAGCGGGGATCCAGGTGAACAAAGGGTCCCAGCATTTTTACGCACCTCGCTCTTCTAGCTGGTCCATCTTCACAAGTCATTTTCCACAATGGTGGCCATACAAACAAAAGCGGGTAGGTACCAAACAGGAAATATGCATAGTGTAGAGTTGACCAATCAGAGGCCTCCTGTCTGCGGTCACCTACAATTTTGGAAACACAGGCAGACAACCTGGTTTCTGAGTATAAATCGGCCTTCAGTGCGTGTGTGTATGGTTGTGTGTCTCTGTGTTGCCCTGCTACAGACTGGCGACCATGGTCTCTCGCCCATATACTGCAGAGATCAGGGGTGTAAATCACATCCATCACGGCCATTCGATTCAGTAGAGTGAATCAATTACCTGACCCTACGATTCGATAATTTTCGATACTCAAGAGTACTTCATCATCTTTTTCCTCCACCACAACTGTCTTGCCTACCTTTTTTTTCCCCCTTACCTCTTCTTTCACTAAACCTACAGTTTAAACCTACAGTTTACGCAAGTGTGTGTGCGCAAGTGGAAAAAGGGTAGTAGCTAAAGGAAGTGAGATAGGACGGCAAAAAAGGTTTAGTGGCACCGCAGCATGGAAGACAGAATTATGCCCAGGACCAAATAGATAAAGTTAGACTGGAGGAAAAAAAAAAACCTGAATCGATACTATTGCGGACGTGTCGATGTATCAGATCGTCAGCTGTTGGATTGATGCATCGATACAAAACGATTATTATTTACTAGTGTTGCACCGATACCGATACCAGTATAGGGCGGGGCCCCGATTCTGCCCTAAAATGGTGGTATCGGTATCGGCGAGTATCAACAAATAGGGCACCGATACCATTTTGAGAGCCATACGTTTATTCAACTATTGTCACCCACTCCTGGTAGGCAATAAAAAAATTCTACTGGATTCACTTTGTATTAGATTTTTTCCTGCTTCACAAAGATAGGCAACAGCTTGACAAAGCCATGATGGCAATTATTTTACATTATTATGGTATCGGTATCAGCCGATACTGCACAGCCAGGTATCAGGGCCAAAAAATGGCATCGGGGCAACACTATTATTTACACTCCTACTGGAGATGGGTAGATAGGCCCCCACTGCGACCCTGACAAGGATTAAGTGCGAGAAGATGGTTGGATGGATTACGATTTGATTGTTTTTCCAACAGCTTATAATCCTGAGTCTTGATCTTACACAACGAGAAAAGATGGGGAATGACCATTTTTCTCTCCGCATCTGTTGCATTTAAAGAAGCAAATAGAGGTAGAGCTATAACATGAAATGTATTTGTTTGATTAGCTTTCTAACTTTGGTTTGTACTATGGGATCACAGAAAATTAAAAAAAAACAGCTTAAATCAACAATGTACAGTTAGTAGGATTTGAAAAAAAGTTTTAATATATTTTCCCATCAAAAGGTACAACGTTGACTTTATTGACAACATGGAGAAGAGAACCTGCAGCATGAAATCTTTTAAGTTTCGTTTTTATTTTATTTTTTTTTTCAACACTCCATCAGAGAACACTGAAATGTTACAAAGATGTGTCTGAATCTACATGGAAAAAAAACCAAAAAGGAGAAAAAAAAAAGAAACAAAATAAAGAAAACAACCTCTATATCAACAGACGGTGGCTGTAGATTGGTGCCACGACTTAAACAGGAAACGTACTGCCACGGGAAAACAAAACCGAAAAAAAATAAAATAAAATAGCACATTGTCAGAAGAAAAGACAAAGGACCTTTGCAAAGCTCTAATGCAAAAAAAAAAAAAAAATGTCAAAAACAATTTTTTTAATTTCATTTTTTTGTACAAGTGACAACAATACGAGAACAACAGAAAGAAAATAAAAAATAATTGGGCACCTTCTAACATTAGGCTAAGATTAGGTGCTGAGGTAGACAAAAACTAAAACAATTCAAATCATAATAAAAACACTATTTTCTTAATACAGAGCAACTCGACTGGCACTTGTGCTGTCACAACAATGGAGAGAAGCAGCACAGACAAAGCCAGGGAAAGACGAGGGGGTAAAAAAAAAAAAAAGAAAGAAAACAACATAAAAAAAAGCTTTGTCACGCTTGGTCCGACAGGGCAATTGGTCCTCAGTGCTAATATAAAAAAATACAATGTCTTGGTGCTTTGTTACTCAAAACAGTTTTAGTCTAGACCTCAATGGCACATGCACTGCAACACTGCATGAAAATGGCTACTTTGTTCTAGAAAACACCACACCAAAAACACAGAGCGCCAGCTTCCAGGGATGCCATGATTCCTCTCGGACCAAATTTTACATCCCCGTCTGATAAATGCATTTTGTAAAACAAGGGGATTAAAAAAAAGTACTTTTATAAACATAACCAAGCAGAAGGGAAAAAAAACCCTAGTGCCAACCTACACCTATGAAGGTTTTTTAGTCATTTTCTCAAAAAAAAAAAAAAAATCTGCTGTTTGTAGACAAATAATTGCATGAACTTCCAAATGTTCTTTTTATATCTGGCGGCAGAGAAAGTGCTTCCGGATGCCAATAACAGGGTACAGCTTAAAGAAGTAAATCCAGAGATTTTATAGCATAATTTGCTCTAAAAAAAAAAAAAAAAAGAAGTCATAAATTGAGCTTCATGACATCCCTAGGGTGCTGGAGACAACATTTTTATATTCTTCTGGAAATACAGAACAAAAGCAGATACAGATGGATTATTTTTGTCGAACAATTTCCATTTTTAGGCACAAAGATAGTACAGAAACACCCGAGGAACACTGAGGGAAGAACTATATCAATGCCAATGTATATGTATATATTTATATATATAATTTTTTTTCCCCAACAGAAAAAAAAGTGGCATAGAATATCATTTTATCTTGTATCTGATTAGTGCATTTTCTCACTAACACACTCACTCACACAGTTACCATTCTTTTCATACACACAAACATGTAGAAAACATTCAGAGGACGATGAAAAAGATAATGTGACTGAACAGGTCTTGCATTGTGGAGGTTAGACTGAACTGTGACTGCTTTTTTTGATTATTATTATAGTAGGTGGATGTTATCTGAAGGGCCCCCCCCTCCCCTCAGCTCACAGTGCTTAAGAATAAAATGGCAAGACACAATGGGACATGCCATCCCTTCTTTTTTTTTTTTTCAAGTACAAAAATAATAAAGTAAATTAAAAAAGTCGAAGTACTAATTGGTCGGTTTGGCAGCGCCCCCTGTCTACCGTTCCGATATTTTTTTTTTTTCTCTTTTTGTATCGTCTTGTTTCTTTTATTTTTTTTTAACCGTAACTTTTACACACACTCGTAAAACTGGTGGTGGATAGATTTAGTCCTTCACCGACAATGCAACTGACATCCAGAAAGCGACACTTATTACAACATGTTCACACCGTTTTTTTTTTGTTGTTGTTTTGTTTTTGTCCAACAATATCAAAGAGGAGCAAGGCAAAAATGATTCACACCCAGAAAGAGGGAAAAAAACTGTAAAAAAAAGAAAGAAATACAAATATTATTTGTGCCCTGCTTTAACCCTCCACAAAAATGGAAAAAAGGACCGACACGGAATACAAAAATATCACAATTTTTTTTCATATATCAAATTGCCTCTGTTGGCTCTTGTTCAGAAACAAACACTCTTGCTTCTATCAAAGGGAGAAGCTCTATTTTTAACCTTCTGGTTTTTTAATCTTTTCTTGTTTTTTTCGATTACGCTTTGCACTTCCAAATTGTCCAACGCGCTCTGCTTCAAATATGACCTGCCCTGTGCGCTGCAGCGTTTTCAACTAACGTCATGATCAGTATGTTGGGGTTTTTTTTCTCATTATTTCACATTACAAAACTACAACTCTATTCACATATGTTCAAGTTTAAATTCTTGTTTTTAAACACTCTCAAAAAGTAACACAACTCTTCTGTCCTACTCGTCACTTTAAGGCTTCAAAAAAAATTTTTTCTCTGCTCTCCTGTTGTCGGAGGCGCAGGGGAGAACGTTAGAGAAGAATAAACATCCATTCGAATGACTTTTCTCATCCTGCCCCACATCTGCTTTACCCTTTAATATACTTTACTTGAAAACAGAGACAATCATAAATCAACTTGAAAGAAAGCGTGAGATGAACTAGCTTTGACAAATAATGCAGAACAAAAACACGACAAAAAAATGTTTTTTGTCTTCTTTTTTGCAAAAAAAAAAAAAATAATACTAATGTGAAAACAACTTAGAGGTAGCTTTTATAACAAATGAACCATCCGGCTCCTTAAACAGAATTAATAATACCAGGTTTGGTAACAAAGAAAACATAAAATAAAAAAAAAAGAAACAGAATCTCTTCTCTGTGGCACTTAATTTCTCTGCAGACCTCTCCACCTTATCACATTTTTTGCGACGCATTCTCTGACACGCATCAACCAAAACAAAATATACACGCCAAACACAAGGGAAAAATTATAAAATACACAAGAAACATGAGGTCACATGAAAAAAAAAAAGAGCGAGAGGTAATTCAAGTACAACGTGTTGAGCCCAAACTCAAGGTCAATAAAAAAGAAACACAATAAGAGACAAAGAGGGACAAAGCGCACAGATGGAACCACAGAAAGAGCCCATTTACTCTGTCATTTCTTTCACTGCCTGGCCGTGTCTCATTCAATCAGTGATTTCTGATCTCCCCCTCCACACCTGCCATTTGGATATGTAATTCCCAAGAAGATGTCATGACAATCACTCGTGTGACTGGACATGCCACAGTTTAAAAACGGCAGAAAGTTGGGAGATGTCAACCGTGACTATTTCAGCAATCTTTTCCCTTGAAGGACTGAGCAGAAGGGCACATTTCAAATGGTAAAGATGCTTCCGGTTTCCTGTCTTTATGACTTCTAGGCAAAAAAAGTACAAACAAAAAAAGTCTAAAAGTGGCAATTTTAGGTTTCTGACACGAAACAGACAGAATAAACCTGCATTTCCACAGAGCCTTATGCGCACCTTGCTTTCAGACGTTCACATTCAGGATTTTTGCCATATCAAGTCCTTAAAACTGACAAATGTCAGAGTTTGTGCAGCTAAGGCATCCTCAACACTTCCTCCACATTCACTACAAACAGTCAGAGTCACAGGACTCATGCAGACGACAACCCTTCTCCCCTTATGATTAATTTCCCCCGACCGTGGTGAGTTGACAGATCGTTGGCAGTCAAAGCGTTACTGTTATGAGTCAGTTTATGTCGGATATTGTTAGTGTGAGATACATCGGGATAAATGCGCATGGGTAAAAGCATTCCAGTTATCATTTGCTGAATATGTCTGGGTTTTTATTGTGCGATATTATGATAGCGAGTTATATTTCATCGAAGGGTTTATACACTTTGCTGACGTCGAACAGAGACTGTTGTCGTAGTTTGCTTTACCTGTGCAATCAAGCCATGATAAACTATGATGCAGAGCTAAACAAAAAAAAAAAAAAAAAAAAATGACATAAAAGTCGTTGGCCCTGAGAGGCCAGTGGTGACTCGAGCGTCTTTAACCCGCACTCGAAAAAGAGATGCAGACCCAGGAAGACTGATGAAGAAACTGGGGAGACCTCCTGGGGGAAGCAGCGAGAGCGTCTTCCCTGCTCATAACCAAATGAGTGCTTGGTTTGCAGCATTTTTAATAGTCCCACACGTCCGGTTCATCTACTGCATAAGCCTGCAGGCTCTCGTACTGATTCTCAGGGGCTGTCTCAGAGCCGCCATCGCTTCTGGAGGGATTCGGGAATGGACACAAAAAACTTTCAAATTCTAGGCATGGGAAAGGAAACAAAAATCAAGGACAATAATAGACGATTCAAATCTTTGAAAATCTGGGGTCGTATTTTTTTCTTTTACAAATTAGGTGCATCAGAAAAAGAAAAAGGAACTAAGGGAAGGATGTGCAGGCAGACAGCCCTCGAGAATCAGCTTTCTTATCAGTGCGGCACCCATAGAGTCACTTCTTTGTAGCCTACTTGCTTTGTGTTTTTGCAAGAAATGACCTGAACCAGTAACACAGTTCCAGGTGTAGTGAATGACCCGGTGAATCCGACACATAGCGGAGAACAACTCCACATTCAAGTCTCTTAGCCCCTCCCTGGTCTTTGCCCCTATACCCAGCTCCCCATCACCACCTTTACATGTAAAAAAACCCCTAAACAAAACAAAAAACACAAGCCCTCCTTTTTTCACGCATCTTCTAGTTAACATTCCTTACTCTTCAGGACCTCCTACCTGCTCTGTTACATTCCCCCTTACCTCTCTACCCCCATTCCCTCCCTCCTCGCTCCTTTCACCCCGATCCCGTATCAGACGTAGCAGAGGTACAGGTAGGTCTTCTCTATGCGCCAGTCTGGGGGGATATCTTCAGGCTTGTGACCTTTCATGTGCTTCTGCATGGCTGACAGGCTGGGGCAGTACTCCAGGCAGATGGTGCATTGATAGGGCGAGGCGCCGTTATGGGTGCGCAGGTGCTTGATCATGGCCGAGTAGTCCCTGGATCGCTGGTGGCACAGCTTGCACTCGAATGGCTTCTCACCTAAAGATGTTGGGAAGATGGTTGAAGACATTCATTATAATACTTAGTGTTATTCAAATGCTGCTGATAATGTGGATGAAGATGGAGGGGATGTGGTCGGCCATGTGGTATTTGCTTGGTCACGGATGAGTAACGCAGCAGGATTGAGTGCTGTTTAACAAATATTAGTGGTTTGGTTATTTGTCATGGTGTAGAAATCTTGGAAAAGATTTATAATATTGATAAATATCAGTTATTGGGCATTAAAGCAATATTAATATCGGATATTGGCCACATTTTCATATTACTGCATCCCTGTCTACACAAACAATAGGCATGGAAATGTTCGATCTTATGCGATTCATACATGGGATTCATATTTGGCTTGTCTAAATTCTCCTTAGGTGTGAGTGTGTGCTTGGATAGTTGTGTGTCTTTGAGTTTCTCTGTGTTGCCCTGCGACAGACTGGCGACCTGTTCAGGGTGTACCCCGCCTCTTGCTTGTAGTAGGCACCGGCCCCACCACAACCCTGACAAGGACTAAGTGGGAGAATATGGAATGGAAAAAAATGGAAAAGATCTGTACACCTTAAAGGTGTGAAAAAAGTACAACAGTAGTTCTACTTCTTATCCTCATGTTTGAAGCTATTTTCTTGACTTTAGCGTCTTTCATTTAAACCAGGGGTCACCGACGCAGTGCCCTCAAGGACCACATGGAGTGCCCTCAGAGTCTTCTAAATAAAGAACAACCCACCAGTGGGCTAAGTTTGAAATGTTATTTTATTCTGTTGCTCTTCTTTTTAATCATTTATAGAGATTTCAAAATGACAATGTCTAAATAAGCTTAGAAATTAACAGAAACATTAAAAATATGTTGATAATGAACAAAGTTTAGGCTAATGCTAACCCTTGCAGCTCATGGCTCATTATTGGTCGCCCTACCTACGTCTCGGTACCCTTAAAAAGGTTGGTGACCCCTGATTTAAACAGTTGCTAGACAGGAAAGAGAGGGATGGTGAGAAGAGTGGGCAAAGGTCTGCAGTTAAGGATTCAAACCAAATGGCTGCATCTTGGAATAAGGCTTACAAAAATGAGCCAAGTGCTCTACCCTTGAGCCATCACCACACCCCAACAATGACCAAATCCTTTCCAATATAATATTCAAATCCAACAAATTTATTGCAAAAGTGTATATCAGACTAATAAAAAAAAAGTAATAACACCAAATTATCTATGATATATCACATACAAGCTCCCGCCACTTTAAATTCCTGGAGGTGTTATAAATCAGTGTGCCTCTCGCTGTGGGGGCTGGTATGTTTAACGGGCACATTTCAATTTGGCAGCAGCGGCCGTCCTAAACGTGCTAATGATTTGAGTGATGGCAGGGAATAATCCACCAGCGCTCAAGCTGACAGACTCAAATTAGACATGTAAATGCTGACCTTTACCAATGGCATTTGAAAAAGGCTGATCAGAAGTGATCTGGTCCGGCGCTTGCCGTCACCTTTTTCGCAGTACCCACATGTGTGCGACAACAAACTCGCCTCTGCTGCTCAGTTCCGGAGAATCCCCAGGTTAACCTTGACCTCGGGGTTGGGGCCTGATAAATGGTGTCATTTTGACCGTTACAGTGCTGCAAACCTATTCTATATCGGTGTGAGCACATGCAGGATGTTAATATTGATAACCAGACTGTAAACACAGTCCCTTCAAATAATCAGCTAATAATGAATTGCAAATGGTGCCTTGGTATTGATCAGCCATTGGCATTTGGGATATGTAGAGAGGCGTGGGGTGGGTAGGGGTTAGGTTGCCAATGTCGATGATTCATCAAGCAGCTGCTTTTGTGTGAGGTGGCCTTTGACTGTGAGCTTGTCACTCGCTCTTGTTATCTGCTGTTGCTCCCCGGCTTAACGCAAGGCCCCCCCTCCCTCATACAAAAGGCGAAAGGGTGGACGGAGGGGAGCCAATTATTGGACAGGCTGCCTTGATAGTGTGGCTTAACAGCTGGTTTATTGAATGGGAGATGGGAGGGTGCTGCTGGGAGTTTGTGCGTGTGTGTTGGAGAGGAGAAAAAAAAAAGATGGCGAGAGAGCATAAACCCTTGGCTGTGTGCCACCCTGTTGAGCGCTCGTGGTAGACTATACTCACTCAATCGAGTTTGCAGCATGCACTCATTCTCCAGGGCACCTAGCCTATCACTGTGTCAACATCTTTATGGGGCTCTAAATATACTGCGATCAATACCAAGTCTTCTGAGACATTCGTCCACTGTATCACAGTAATACTGATATTCATCTGTCTTGTCTCGACCTCAGAACTTTGATATCCTGAAGTTTCTCAGTAGCACACAAATTTTATATCATAGGAGCTGCTTAAAAATGACCATTAAAGACTGACCAACAGTTTGAGTAATGATAGCAGGAAGGTTTTCTCAGAGACCAGCAATTAAAAATGGAGTTTTCTTTTCATCTTAACTTTTGGAGTCTATTTCAAAGGTATCCATCATCAATATATTATTAGATTAAACCTCTCACACCAGAAGAGGTGGCGTCACAATCTAGGAGATTATATTTTCTTTTTTGGGGTGGTTAAAAGCTAGCCTGACGTAGTACTACTCAATTCTAGTCAGAATGAGTCTGATGCTGCTCCATAGAGCTGTGATTATGGGGCGTGTTTCGAACGAACTAGGAAAAAAAATGGCTCTGCACTCAATTGGATAGACCTACAACCAATAAGAGCAACGGAGTGCGTGACGTATGTTAAGCGACGCATAGTTGTTGTCAACAAAAAATCAAAGCGTGCAATTGCACGCCTAAAATAAGAAGATGAGCCTTGATCGCGTTTCTCTGTTCCTCTTTTAAAATTAATTTGCTGTTGATATCTTCTAGAACAGACCTAATAGCAGAATCTACACACCTCAACTCTCCAGCGGCAGCCATTGTTGTTGTCACCCAAGCGTGCTTTGGTGACGTGGTTGATTACGTTACTGTTGATCATCTGTCCATCAACGTATAAAGCCCGCCCTGACAATTTGATTGGCCCACCAGATATTGTGCGAGCATACTCGCTCTACTATTGAGCAATGCCAGACCGAACTTCCCGACCTCCAACGTTGTGGGCGGGACTAAGTTTGGAATGGCACCCAGGCTAGCTAAAAGCACCAAAAAACAACTAATATATTATAAAAAAAATAATAATACCATTTTGTGCCAAAGGCACATATCATATATGCCTTAAGTTGACTTTGGAAGGTCTAAAATAAGGATAAAGAACCTTTAGGTTAGAGTGCAAGATTCATTTATAAGTTAGAAAGCTGGGCAAAATATTATCCTTGCAAGAACAACTTCAGACTATAGAGAACAATCAGGCCTCTCGTTTCTACCAAAAGTTATTTCGACAAGACTTTTGGAAATATGTTTTGTGGACAAATAACTTTAATAAAGGTTTGACACGGAGGTAACATTTCAAACGTGTCAGTGACACACAGTGATGGACTCTGGAGCTCCTTTGCAGTTTTAAGACATTAACTGATGGAATTACAAATGGTGCATTCTACTACTTTATAAAAATCAGAAGGAGAATAAATTGCCATCAGTTTGTGACCAATAGATTAGGCAGCAGAACAGTAGTCTACTTTACAAATTGCTTTTAATTCGGTTCAGAACAGGCTTTTAAAACTAGATCTTTCTTTAAATGCAAATAAAACTAAAATGGTATTATTTTCAAAAACAAAGACAAAATTGCAAAATAGCTATCCTCTTGTCACCTTGCATGGGTCAGAGATAGAAAGGGTTCAATCTTTTAAATATTTAGGAATTTTAATTGATGAAAGTCTAAATTTTAAAACTCATGTTGAACAATTGATTAAGAAACTTGGCTTCTACTTCAGGAATAGGCTTTATTTCTCTTTTAATTCGAAGAAGAGACTGGTATCTGCAACGTTTTTACCCATTCTGGTCTATGGTGACCCAATCTATATCAATGCCCCAGATCAAGTTCTAAAAATGTTAGACTCAGTTTACCATGCCTCCCTATGATTTATCACAAATTGTAAGCCTGGCAGACACCACTGTGAACTTTACATACGTGTGGGCTGGCCAGCATTAGAGACTCGTACACTCACTCACTGGTATATGATCATTTACAGGTGCTGGTCATAAAATTAGAATATCATGAAAAAGTAGATTGATTTCAGTAATTCCATTTAAAAAGTGAAACTTGTATATTATATTAATACATTACATACAAACTCATATATTTCAGATGTTTATTTTGTTTAATTTTGATGATTACAAATGACAACAAATGAAAATCTCAAATTCATCATATCAGAAAATTAGAATATTACTGAAGACCAATAAAAACAAAGGATTTATAGAAATGTTGGCCAACTGAAAAGTATGAACATGAAAAGTATGAGCATGTACAGCACTCAGTATTTAGTTGGGCCTCCTTTGGCCTGTATTACTGCAGCAATGCGGCGTGGCATGGAGTCGACCAGTCTGTGGCACTGCTCAGGTGTTATGATAGCCCAGGTTGCTCTAATAGTGGCTTTTAGCTCTTCTGAATTGTTGGGTCTGGTGTATTGCATCTTCTTCTTCACAATACCCCATAGATTTTCTATGGGGTTAAGGTCAGGAGAGTTTGCTGGCCAATTAAGAACAGGGATACCATGGTCCTTCAACCAGGTACTGGTAGCTTTGGCACTGTGTGCAGGTGCCAAGTCCTGTTGGAAAATGAAATCTGCATCTCCAAAAAGTTGGTCAGCTGCAGGAAGCATGAAGTGCTCTAAAACTTCCTGGTATGTGGCTGCGTTGACCCTGGACCTCAGAAAACACAATGGACCAACACCAGCAGATGACATGGCACCCCAAACCATCACTGACTGTGGAAACTTTACACTGGACTTCAAGCAACGTGGATGAAGTGCCTCTCTTCTTTTCCTCCAGACTCTGGGACCTTGATTTCCAAAGGAAATGCAAAATTTACTTTCATCAGAGAACATGACTTTGGACCACTCACCAGCAGTCCAGTCCTGTTTCTCTTTAGCCCAGGCAAGACGCTTCTGACGCTGTCTGTGGTTCAAGAGTGGCTTGACACAAGGAATGCGACAGCAGAAACCCATGTCTTTCATACGTCTGTGTGTGGTGGTTCTTGAAGCACTCACTCCAGCTGCAGTCCACTCTTTGTGAATCTCCCCCACATTTTTGAATGGGTTTTGTTTCACAATCCTCTCAAGGGTGCGGTTATCTCTCTTGCTTGTACACTTTTTTCGACCACATCTTTTCCTTCCCTTCGCCTCTCTATTAATGTGCTTGGACACTGAGCTCTGTGAACAGCCAGCCTCTTTAGCGATGACCTTTTGTGTCTTGCCCTCCTTGTGCAAGGTGTCGATGGTCGTCTTTTGGACAACTGTCAAGTCAGCAGTCTTCCCCATGATTGTGTAGCCTATAGAACTAGACTGAAAGACCATTTAAAGGCTTTTGCAGGTGGTTTGAGTTAATTAGCTGATTAGAGTGTGGCACCAGGGGCCATCAATTTTGAATATTCTAATTTTCTGATATGATGAATTTGAGATTTTCATTTGTTGTCATTTGTAATCATCAAAATTAAACAAAATAAACATCTGAAATATATGAGTTTGTATGTAATGTATTAATATAATATACAAGTTTCACTTTTTAAATGGAATTACTGAAATCAATCTACTTTTTCATGATATTCTTATTTTATGACCAGCACCTGTATAAGGGTATTCTGCGTCTGCTCCCCTCATACCTCTGTGAGTACATTCAACCAAGAGTGGCTGGACTGTATTCTCTACGTTCAAGAGTCTTTGCTTCTGTCTGTACCTAGTGTCCGCACTGAAGCTGGAAAGACAGCTTTTCAGTACTCTGCCCCCACAGCATGGAACAATCTTCAGAAAGACTGGAAGTTGAAGGATTTGATTCCAATCGGACATTTTAAACGATTCCTCAAAGGTTTGGAAATGAGAACTATGGTTTTTAACTGTTTTATGAATTTCTAATTATAGATAGATGTAATTGTAAACTGTAATGTAATTTGTAATGTAATCTTTTGCCGCTGTCTTGGCCAGGACTAATCTCAATGGGACTTTTCCTGGTTAAATAAAGGAATAAAAAAAAAAAGTAGTCCAACCAGAGTTGCAGCCAACCTGGAACATCCAAAGCCACTAGGTTTAGGTGGCAATTACTTTTCTACACAGGGTCAGGTTGTTTGTTTTATTTTTTCTTCCCTTAAAACATACAAAAATACTAATTTCTGAAAAATACAAAGAGGCAAAATAAACTTTGCAAACTTACATTGATTCTTTTTTTTTTCTTTTCTTTTGCATTATTATAGTGCAATTTTTAAAAAAGTCCAACGCACTCTAAGAAGACAGAATTGCTCTCTATGAAACTATATTATATTTTAAATCTTTTGAATTAAAAAAACTTTTTGTAACCTTTGAAAAACACCATATTTTATTTGTTTATAGCTCACTAAAGCTAGGAATAACTTGTCTTTCTAAAGTCAGACCATGATTTTATATTATGCTTTGGACTTTAAAGTATTTAAGTATTAATGTTACTATGTCAGTGACTTAATCAGAAGAAAAAAATATATATATCCATTAGGTTTATATACACGTTGAAGCCTTACTGGAGTTTGAGATCTGATTTGGCTTTCTGATGCCTTCCAAGTTCGGATTTAATCTCAAGTCTTTGAGTTACAGTTAATTGATCAATACATAATGTGGCTGTTTTTTCAGACAGTATTCACTAGATGTCAGTCTGAATGAACCTAGTCCTCCTCCTAACAGAGTTTCTGTTTTTCCCTCTGCACTCATTTTGGATGCAGTACCTGTGTGCACACGGTAGTGGGTTTCCAGCTGGTGTTTTAGGCTGAACTTCTTCCCACAGCCGTTACATTCATAGGGCTTCTCCCCGGTGTGGATGCGCTTGTGGCCCTTCAGTGTACTCTCGTCCCGGAAGCAGCTCCCGCAGAATTCACACTCGAACGGGTGGTCCCCTGCTGTAGTGCAGAGACAGAAAGACACATTTACTAGAACTCCTTACCATCTTTAGATGTATACGATAAAAATGAAGCTATTTTTCAATAAGAAGAGATAAATTGCAAACCCTGCCCTAATACGCATACCGAATAATATGACAGCTGAGCTTATGGCTTAAAAAGCATCCTTACTATGTGGATGCAGTTATACACAAACAACAGGCATGCTTTAATGGATATCCATTTCAGTTCTAGCAGACAAATAGCATCCTTTGTCTTTTTCTACAATTTACCCACACTGCTGCTGTGCTTTGTTTTAAGCCTTTATAATTATAGCCTGCCTTGGCTATTCAGCAGCCATCAGATGTATAATAGAGCATACAGACAGACTATTTACAATACACTAATAGAAAACACCACTGATAAATGTGGTAATTCTAGAGAGATGGGTTGTCATCAGGTAGTTTATTCAGCTCCTAATTCAACAAAAAACAAAGATGTCACTTTCTCTAAAAAGCTTGAGAACAGAACAGAGGATGCGTCCAGAGCTCAAATGGAGATTAAAAAAATAAAAACTGATGGATGATCACTATCTTACTGTGAATTCTGTTTTTTTTTTTTTTTGTGATGGGAGAAAAAACATCTGTCCATCTTTGAAAAAGAAAAAATTTCCTACTATAACTAAACTATTTTAGAAACCTGGGTATTGGGGGATGTGCTATACGTTTACATTTTAAAATGAAAATTCTAAAAAAAGCCATTGCATTTATGTCATCAGGCTGTCACGGCACATGCTTCTAATGGGAAGCTCTAATGGATATTCACATGTCAGCGTCCGGAGATATTATGATTTGCGGGGAGTCTCTCCACGGCAGCCCAAAGACTAATTGTATTCCCGTGTTTGATGAGGACCCGCTCCTTGCATCATTTGCCACCTTACGTGTTATCCTCTCCATCCGAGTGATTTTGCAGATATTTATTAAAGTATTTTGCTTCACTGCTGCAGGTTTAAGTCACAACCAATGACCTATGCCTTTCATTATCTGCCTGTCCAAGCAGCAACGTGCCGGGGAATAAATTGCATTTCTCGTTATGTGCCTCCACCGCTGCCCTGACAATTTCGCTGCCATCCACATATTTTATTTACAATTTTATGTAAGTACATACAGTATGTATGGCCGTAGCTGGTTTATTTAAGGTCAAGAGAGAAAAATGGAAGTAAAGTGGAATATAAAATGCACACCTCCTCCAGTCTGATCACATTATGGGAATGTTATACATTTATGGTGGAAAACGTTTTCAGATGCCTTAGGGATGATGTTGGATGCACTTCCATTAAAGGGGAGCGATGGGGATGAAGGGATAGGAATAAAACTCAGACAGGGATAGAGCAGGAGATGTGGGTGTATATGGCTTTGGCAGTGGGGGCTGGGTAAAAATCAATAAAAGTGACAGTCTTTATTTGTCTGCATGAAGTTATCAGTGGCTCCCGCTGTAAGACATTGTGCTCTTTCTAGCGTCTCATCCACAGCAGAGATCACAATCCATCACAGAGCTCGGTGGGCTTGCACGATGCTGCAAGAATAATAATTGAGTTCAGATTCACCTGCCTTTAATTAGGGACCTCCTATCAGTCCAGTGAATGCAATGCTAATGCACAAAGGAGGTCTATGGAGGGTTATTTATGTTTAATGTCTTTTGCTTTGCAAATGTCTAGTACTGGTTTAAAAAAGAAGCTAAATCTTGCTAAAGAGATGTATTTTCTTATTTAAACAGACTACTTGCTTGGAACAGATTATCCTACTTGAACACCATGTACAATTTAAGAGTGACATTCTGTTTTTTTTTGCACTGCTTGTAATAATAGATTTTATGATATAGATCCTGCTGAGTTTAAAAGTCAACAAAGTACTTGAGGGTGAAATCAATACAAAATAAAAATGTTGAAGATGTTTTGATTAGTATTAAGATTTTTTATTTTTTTGTGGGCCCAAATCCAAGTCAAAGTCTTTCGTGCATCAGATTTTTCAGAGAAAACACCAAAGCAATTCTTTTATTTTGTTAAAGTAAAAAAAAAAGCTACTTAAGAAAGTTTCATGTGACAATCTCCTCCCTTCTTTTAATAACACGTTTCCCTTTTTTTTTTCCCTAAATTGCTGAGTGACTAGAAGAGCTTGGCCTTTTTGTAAGGCAAAAGCGGCACACCATGTAATCATCATGTTTCTAGTCACACATTAAGCAAAAAAAAAAATAAAAATAATTTTAAGTTCCTTTTATTGTACAGGATTTGTAGGGAGAAGCATTGATGATTTATTATAGGAAAAGTTCGGTCACATTCAGAATACAAACTTCTGAAAGTACTTTAAGTAGGAAATTACTACATACTTTTCAATACTTTAAATGTTAAGTGTTTTTAATTCAGAGTAATTTTCATGTGAATGTGCTTTGCTGGAGGCAACCATGTTTGTTAAAGAACACTACTGCCACCTACTGGTTTGTGACGTCACGGTGCGGTATCGGCTGTTGATCAAGTCCCAGTGCTGTATCTGGTGTTTTTTCACAACGCGCTATTATCCAAGATGGCGACGACCAGTGCACTATGCATAGCAGAGAGCAACGGATTAATGACACATTTTTTTTTTCTCTGGCCAGAAGTTCGATGGCAAATCCTCCCTCTTCAAGTTGGCGATCGAACGACGAACCCGTGGAGGATCAGGAATCAGAAAGGTGAAATAACTAATTTTTAAAAACTTTTACCCGATGTATTCCAACATCCAGCTGCCATGCACGTGGGCATTGTCAGTTTCACTATAGCTCTGGTGAATTTCAATGGTGAAGTCCTCTGGAAATCTTCAATAGTTGTTGTTGATTGCAGATGTGTCTAGTAGTTCCCATTGATTTAGCTTGTAAAGCGGGGAGAATGGCTCTAGGCTAGGCTTTTGAACAAAAATATTAATAATAAATAAAAGATAACTGAATAAACGTAAAAATAGTAGACTGATTGAGTAAAGCTAGACATAGAAGACATAAAAGCATGTAAGGGGATTACATAAATATTTTGAATTTAAAGCCTTTTTGTTATTGGAAAAGGATAATGTAGAGAAATAAATTGTTGCCTTCTTTAAGAAAGAGATCCATGATGAGTTATGGTAATTTTACTTTTATGGATATAAAATTTGGCCAACAGAAGCAAAAGATTACATAAAAAGAAATGGAGTTCTTTTCTATATTCTATAATTCCAAATAAAATATTCCCATTGATTTTGCTTGTAAGGCGGGGAGAACGGCGCTAGGCTTACCGCACCGTGACGTCACTGCTGGAAGATGGCAGGAGGGAGGGGTTACTATGTTTGGGCAAATATGGCCGCTCCCAGCCGCAGTGATCGCAAATGTATTAGTTTTAGGTATAATAATGATCCATTGATTATTCCTTGCTGACCGGACTTTTCCTTTAAAGGTAATTCATTTGAACCATACGGAAGAGGATTAGGGCCACTGAAAAAAAAAAAAAAAGTTAACTGATTTTTTTTATTTTATTTCAGTATAGTATGGGGAAAAAGTCAGAATTCTGACTTTTTTTATTGTCAGAATTCAGTCAGAATTCTGATATAAAAGTCAGAATTCTGAGATTAAAGTCAGAATTCTGAGAAAAAAGTCAGAATTCTGACTTTAATCTCAGAATTCTGAGAAAAAAAAGTCAGAATTCCGACTTTAATCTCAGAATTCCCATGTTAAACTGAAATAAAATTTAAAAATCAGTTCATTTTTTTTCAGTGACCCTAATCCTCTTCCGTAGAACCAGATCATAATTTCTCTATTAGATATAAGGAAACTATAGTTGTTTTATGCATTCTCTGTTTTAGATTATGATATCACCATGAATAAAAGTGACATTAGGGCATCGTGCGTTTTATTGAAATAGACAAAATAAGCCAAGGTGAAGCCTTGTTTCCGTCTCCTCTCACTGCCCTTGGGAACGCTACAGTACAGAGACGTAATATGGAGCTTTATGTAAATCAGACACGTTTCTGTGATTTTATGAGATGATGTGAAATTACAGACTAGATGTTCTCAAGATCTTCTCACCACCGTTTCAGATGGTTACACCTAGTCTGTCCGTCCGATATAACTGCCACCATCCCCGTTTCTTTCCACTCCATTTCTGTTTCATTTCTCTTTCTCTCTAGTGTGACCGCATGGCGGAGGGGGACGCCACAGATGAGGACCCAGCACAGTGAGGTGGAACCGAGGACGCGCCATGTGAACCCAGGGGTGCCCCCAAGCATCACCACCTGCGTCTTCTCCCCCCCCTGACTCAAACACCTCTTTTGACACCCCAAAGGGCCGCTGAGGGTGCCCATGGGCACACGGAGTGTGTCCATTATACACGGTAAGAGGCTGTAAATTACCGGGCCACGTTTCTGCCAAGACAGAACTGGCTTTAGTCCCCTCTCTCTTTCTTTCTCCCTCTGTCTGGCTGCAGCGCTATCAAATACAGCTGCGAACACAAAACAACCCCGCCATGGCAGACAGCAAATTGGCTCAGAATGTAAAAAAACACACACACTTACACACAGACAGTGCACAACAACAGAATATTAATGAAGGCCTGATCTGTAAAGAGTGTCTGCCCTCTGTGTGTCTGTGAAGCTTAGGGAAGGGAAGAGCACAGCTGCCATGTCTACACTTCTGTGAGCCAGCATTGTGTGTTTGTTCACAAGTGCTTGACTCTAAACTGTACTGTACACATGCTATAAAGATGAATTACATAAAGAGGAAGGAGGGTGGTGATAGTATGTCCAGAGGAGGCGATGAAACTGCAGGTGGAGACGGAGAAATAAGCAACTCTGTAAGGGACAGCAGCCGTGATGGAGAGATTAAGAGGCTGAAATAAACACCATTAAATCAGTTTTTTTTCCCACTTCTAGTCTTTAAATGGGGATCCAGTGTCAGAGCCGGTGGCTGCAAGACTGCTTTCAAAAGATAAGGCTGCAGACAGGTAAAATGAAGCAGACGCAATGAACGTCCCTAAAAGTGCTTTCTGTTGTCAGCTGATACGACTGAATACTGATTCGCCTAACTACCGAGCTGCATCTAAAAAGCTTCCACGCAAAGACGAGCTGCCACTATTTATACATTAAAATTAGGGGTTGAATACTGAGATTTTGGTATTTACAAGGGATTCTTGTCAAAACTGAGACCAATTTTACCAAAAAAAAATAAATACGAAAACACACATAGAAAGCAGAGATTTGCTTTATGTCTTTGTGCCTGGAAGTCTAACACAAGTGATCTCATGCGAGAATAAATTACTATGCAGGTGTCAAGCTTTATGGATAAGTTTAAGAATTATAATTGTAATGGAATAAGAATTACAAATAAAGGGAAGATTTTGGGGGGAAAAGAAGCCATGCTGTTGGGTGGTCAAGTTCAGAGTCAGCATTTTAGACCATTTAGACCTTGCTTGTAAAAGGTACCAGTGCTTAAATTAAAGACCTGCTAACACTGCAAGTTATTGCTCAGCAAACTTTACCTATAGAAAATGTAAGGAATATCACCTAAATGAGGATGAGGGCAACCTTACTACCATTCTAGTTCATTTGTAAACAGAATTGCTACTGATTTTGAGCCAAAGACCCAATATCCTCTTATGTTGTAACTCTTAATTGTTATAATCTAGATCCAATAATAAGGTACCTAGAATAACTTCTGGTTCATATCTAAAAATACTAAAGACCAAGCAATGCTTCTGACGCATAGCCTCTGCAAACATCAAATCTGTCTCGGTGCACGACCACACTAACCTGACTCCGCCAGATGGATTTGCTCCATCTGGAAACCTTCCGTTGAAGTAATTTTGGGAAGGGGCGAAAATACTGGTTAGCTGATTGGCCTATGTTGGTGATAGACGGGCCAAATAAACCAATCAGGTCAACGAAGCATATGACGTACTAACAGAGCGACGACGAAGAGGAGCCAGTTGATAGATCAAACTCCTGCCGAAACCAGTCGGGAGAAGAGCAAAAACATATTTTCCTCTGAGAAAAGCCTCCAGAGCAGTGTTTTGCTCTTCTTACAGTGAAGAAATACTTTGTAATTCCGATAAGACTTGCTCGATAGCCACGCTAACGCTAGTTTCATCGGCTGAAGCCGCCACGTTCTTTAGACTGAACTGTCGTTGCGTCACACCTCAACCCGCCACAAAGCCAACGCTGATTGGACGTTCGTTTGGTGAACTGCTCCAAATTTTCTTTAACGGAGAGTCTCCAGACTGATCTGCGAGTGAAACCTTGAAAGCTCGCGAGATCAGGATGGTCTCACGAAGCTACGACCAAGCCCCCCGCACAGAGGTTCTGTAACTGTCGTCGCGCACATCAAAAAAATCCTGACTATGCATCGGACGGTCGCAGACCCGCACAGACCTAAAGCATAAATACGCAGACAAAAAGCAGCTGTGATTGGTCCTCGGTATGCCTTTCCGGCTGTCTGAGTGGTCGACCTTCTCGATTCAGTGCCGGGGTGCGCCATTTTTAAAAACCAAGGATCAACTATAATGGAAAACTACAACGAAAGGTTAATGGGTCTTTTTTCCAACTCCATTAACAGAACCTGTTCCTCTTTGATGTCTAGCAACTCTAGATCCATCTCCGTGATCGTGATATCTTGCAGACGCGCCATTGTTGTTTTGGAAGGTAAACACTCCCGCCCGTGCCTCCGAAGTTCTCGTGACCATCCGCCGAAGTTCTCCCTTGCACTTTAGCAGAAAACTGCTGGAGGTCCCAAGAAATCCAGACTGACGGTGCAGAAGCATACCAGCAAAACAGGTTCGCAACCAGACCCAAGCGACATTAGATATGTGCGGTTGCAGAAGTCCAAACATAACATGTTTTATGTCAACAGCCACAGGACTCATCCTTCTAGGCAAACCTGCTTTTTCAGTATTTTGTCTAAATCAGTATTTTTCCACTATTAATCATTAAGGTATTAATAGCATCAAAGAGTGATTGTAGAGAAACAGCCCTCTAGTTTTATTTAAAGGTTATATTAGGACCCATTTTTGGCAAATATGATGGCTGTGTCAGAGACTGACTTTTTAATCCCCCGACAAAAGCCTCTGCATCATATCAAACAACTGCTTTTACGGCTGGCTCATTGAGATTTAGCACACGCCCACAGTGGGATGAGGTTCAAAGTGGAAAAAGGCTGTAGAGTCTCATCTGCAGCTCCAGCGACGAGCTAAGATGACATTTGCATCGCCGGGGTGGGCAGGTGGATCAGAGACGCTGCGTGTGTCCTCTACCGAACACGTGTGTGTCTCTACTGTATGGGGCGGCTCCAACAGCCCCACCACGAATCCCCTCAGCCTCCACCACCATCACACACAAATGGTGTATTTGCCTGACTTGTAAATAGAGCCGACTGCTCTCATCTCACTGCCTTTCGTTTCAAATATTTATCCGCGAGCCGGTGAGCTAAATAGGCTCTGACAGTGAGACTGTTATTTAAGGTCACAGACAGGCGGTTGGGTGAGACACGGAGAGAAAGAGGGAAGAAAAAGAGGGCCTTTTTCCTCGCTGCTGAAATGGGATTCATTTCCATGTGTTCATATTCTGTCATGGCCGTGTTTTCGTTTTTCTCCTCCTCTGCTCTGAATAGCCGCATCTGTCAGGCTACCTCTGCTCCTACGAAAAAATGTATTAGAATCCTGGTCCTGTCCTTGGGAGCCGACGCTGAGTGAATTATAGTGGACTGATGGAAAGGGAAAGAAAAAGCAAAACAGTCGCTGTAAATAACCTCCCCTTGAGTGCTGCAGAATGCATCCACACTGACCTGAATTCATGATATTTATTCAACTGAGAAAAATTTCCTAAAATAAAAACACGCCTTTGTACTTTGGAATCATACTGCAGGCTATATTCAAACATGAGAATCCTTGTAGTCCTTGCACAAAAACCTGAAGCGAATTAAATTTTAATTTGTCTGGCATTCTGATACCCCAAAAAACAAACAAAGAAACTACAAAGTGAGGCGGATTTCCAGTGGATAAACATCTTCAATTAAAGTTTGATTTGGAGAAAAGGTTAAAGTTTAGTCTATTTTAATAAAGTAGGACTTTTTTGCTACGGTTTCTGCTTGAAAAATAATATTCTCCATAAAGAAGTCTAGACTTAGCCATGAAAATTGCAAGCTGTGTAGCATAATAAAGTCTCAGACTAAGAGGATCTGAAGCTCATCCTGGAAGATTCACACTCTGCTATGAACCGCTTTAGCACATGCTGAAGGTCGTGACTTAAAGACCTCAACAGAACCACATAATCCATTAATGCAAAGCTGAGAAGAAACAGTTTTTACAAGTTTAATGTACGGATTTATATATAAATGTATGGGAAAACCGCAACTCTTCTTTCTATCATTGCTCAGAGGATGCTACACATGGCTTGTGTGCCTGGATGGAAACAATAACGAGGTCCCTCCTTCTCTGTCCTGTTGTATTAATTATAAACTTATCTCTATAATTTAGGCTTGTCAGACAAAGGGAAAGAAACCCATCTTCCTTCATCCTAGAAAATATAAACCACAATCTATACTCTTATGCTGGATTCATGTGGTCTGGTAAAGATGATCCTGAAAATTACAAGCGCATTGTATTCAATTGCTAGAGAAGAGAAACATGTTGGATTCAAAGATTATCCTGACCTGCTACTTGGACAAGACAGTAATAGACTTCCTAATTCATCTGCTGCAGCAAGAAGAGGTGCATCAAATGCATGTTAAATGGTGAATAATTTAAAAAATATATATTCTTATCATTTAGGCAAAAAATCACAACAGGAGAGAATATTTATCAATGCAATATTCGCTATACAGAATCGTTTTGTTGCTCTCCGCCATGTTGAAAGGTTAAAGTTTACCTCACCCCTGCGAATCTGGTATTATAAATAATCTTAGCCTTTCAGTGGAGTGGGAGTTTATGTCTAATTTTCATGTGGGCTACCACATAAAGGCATTATAAATATGACCAAACCAGCATTTATGGCAGTTTTGTTTCCCCTATACCTGGAATTAATTGGAGAACAATCATAACAATCAGTCATAAACATATATTTTGATATTTTAAGTTTTATAAGTCCCCCCCGAAAAAACTGCTCAGTTTCAATTCTGGAAAACAGGGTATGTTAAAAACCCTTATTTTGCATAGTAAAAGCTGAATGATTCAGAATTTGGGCTGAAATGAAGGCTAACATTACAGCAAGACGGGAAAAAGAAGCACTAAAGTCGTCAGCGTCTTATCAGACGATGGATACCGAGTGATTCACTGACCGGTGTGAGAGCGGAGGTGACGTTTGAGTGCAGTATGGCTGGGGAACGTCCGGTTGCATTCGCTGCAGATGTAGCTACGAACGCCGGCATGCACCTCCATGTGCTGCTGCAGTGCTGTCTGGGTCTGGAAACGCTTCCCACAAAGAAGGCAAAAGATGGCCATGTCAGATCCTGCAAAGAAATACAAAAAAAAAGGGTCACAGGTTAATCAGAGATGATTAGATTACATTATTTCAATATCTTTTTATTGGCTTTTTGCAAGTCTGTGTGCCAATGTGCATCTAGATTAATATTGAAGGAAATTAATGGGGAAGGAAATGTGGTCAGAATAACATCAGGTTATGACCAGAGTTGATCTGAAAAAAAAGTATGCTAACAATGCAAATGACCAGGACGGTGACCTTCGCTACCAGCCTTATCAACAAGACCCAGAGACCCCTGTGACACTGCCACTATCTCCCTGCGTTAAATTAACGCACAGTCTACTGTGTATATAGTATATAGCTATGTGTTATATATTGTATATAGTACATAGTATGTTGTCGCAGCCTTGTTTTGAAAATGATAACAAAATTTCCAACAAAGGCCTTAGGAGGCTTTTGGTTGGAAAAAAGGGAGTTTTTCCTCTCCACTGTCGCTTCAAGCATGCTTAAGTGCCTTAAGATGACATGTGTTGTCAATTTGGCGCTATATAAATAAACTGAATTGAATTGAATTGAGGTAACCGGTGGTTTTTGGCTTTGTACGCACTTCCAACATGGCTTATTAATTGTAAAAGCAAAGACAAAATATTTATTAAAAATTAATTGCAACTTAGTAGAAACAAAAAATAATGTTAACTTAATGTTTGCTCTAAAAAAGGTGTCAAAAATGTTGGTTCTTGATTACTCAAATTAATGGGAGGGTCTAACAATTAACAACTTAATCTAAACAACTCCAAATATAAAAATAAATAAATAAATAATAAATAAATTACAGATTTTGGTTGTAAATTCACTTAAAATATATTTTACATGCCAAAAGAAGAAACCTAAATTGGTAGAAATTACAAATTGCACAAATTTAGCATAAATATCCACAATATATGTTTTATATTGTATAAAGCTATAGATTATGTGATATATCAAATTTGTCTGCACCATCAACACTGATCTGTTCTGTTGCTTTTTAGGTGGCAGATCATTTTACATATTATATATTTATATTATATTTATATTAACGGTATATAATGGTTAATTAGCATCAACTACATGATGCAACAGAACATTTATGAGTTAAAAAAAAGGTGCAACAGTGTGGAGAGCTGGATGGCACAGTGCAATAATGTAGATATATCTCCATACATCTGCTAACTTTAGCATAATAGCTAACACTAATAGCCAAGATGCCCTATTATTAAGATACCAATAACATCACCACTTTCGCATGTGCAAGCAGATATTCATCCAGGCTGCATAAATAATGTAATCATGGTACTAAAAGTACTTATTTATATCCTTAACTCACTAAATACTAAATGCTTTCTCCTTTCTGAGAAAAAGTGATGGGTTTCGGCTTGTCTGACGTCATCAAACATGCTAGGAGTAGTCCGGCAAAATATGATTAAACCATGTTTATCAGCACTTTAGTCGTTTCTATATTTAGATTACGTACTTCATACCATAACATTAATACGAAAGGAAAAAGTAAATCTAAAAAAGACAAGATTTATGTTTAAATCCAAAAGCCGAAAAAGTTAGCTCCCCGAAAAAGTAGCGTAGGACCCCATTTCCCGACAGATCGGGAACAGACAAGTGATAAAACAGAAAGGATTTTAATACATTTGTTTTCTTAGGAAAGACATTATTACCATTTAACAAATATTTTAGTACGCGTTTTATTTTAGAGGAGGTAAATCTGGTAAAGCAAGCACAAATGAGCCGATGGTACGCATCGGGTAGTGACAATTAGCATGGTATAGTACAGCAACGGTAAAACTATCAGCTCAGGCCTGCTAACAGTTTAGCATGTTTATGCTAGCACTACACTACAGACCAGTCTGGAATGCTAACCTTTAAATCCTAGCATGCTCACATTTAATGTTACTGTAAGATTAATTTCATTCATTTATTAACTCCTGGAAAAACAAATGTCTCAACAGTTCATCTTCAAATTATGTCAGACATTATAAATTGTTGTAAATTGTAAAATTACATATTTATAGAAAAATGCCATTTTCTACAACAGTAATGTTAAAGAGAACCCAGTTGCAAGACTGTTTTCATCTTTCTAACTATTTTACAAGAAACAAAGTAAATCCCTGAGTTAGATTTTGTGCCCCTGATGTGAAATTAAATGATTTCTAAAATTAGCCTGATAATGACCAGATAATTTAAAGACAAAGGACGTTTATTTTGCCCTAAATAGCATTTAGCAACTTTTAAAGGGTAGGTGTTTTTCTCATAAGAAAAAGTCAGAATTTATAGCATAAAACTAGCTATGATAGTTACGTTTCCAATGCACGCTTGTTTAACTGCAATTGAAATAAAGGTATGTTGTTAAATGGGGCAGTGCCTCAGAGGGAAGCACTGCTGCCTTGCAGCAAGAAGGTTCTGGGTTCGATTCTTGTCCCAGGGTCTTTCTGCATGGAGTTTGCATGTTCTCCCTGAACATGCGTGGGTTCTCTCCGGGTACTCCGGCTTCCTCCCACAGTCCAAAAACATGACAGTTAGGTAATTGGCTGCTCTAAATTCCCCTTAGGCGTGAGTGTGGCGACCTGTCCAGGGTGGACCCCGCCTCTCACCCATAGACAGCTGGAGATAGGCACCAGCAGCCCTCGCCAACCCAGCAAGGATAAAGCGTGAACGAAAATGGATGGTTATGTTGGTAATTACTACAAGTATTCAGGTGAGAGCTGCATAAATCAAGCTGCTCATCACCTCAGATATAGGTGTGAATCCTGGAGTATTTACACTTGTTCATTAATGCCACATCTTCTGTTGTAATGATCTCTGCAGCACATATGATATGTAATACATGAGAGTGAATATTTTAAATAGTGCTCATGAATAAATCACACAAGCCTTACACTCTGCTCACAGTGAATAATGTGACAGTATACACAACAACACAGGGGCTCTGACACATTACATTTTATTAACTGTTCCCTCAAAGGCTTATGTGCTGCATACTGTATTTATAGGATTAAAGTTGTACACAATTCTAATGTTTCAAGGGATTGTGCAGATTGATAAAGATCTCCTATGCAATACTTCAAACGAATCTCGACTCCAGCGAGCATGGAGCATTTTTCTCCAGCAGAGATAAAGAGCCCACAGTTGCAAGCAACACAAACACACACCGCAGGGTTGCACTTTTTGCTTCGAACACACACTCTTTTCACACTTTTTTCAATTACCAGGCTGGGGAAAACTCTGGGGAAGGACTGAGTGTTTGGAGCTCAGTTTCTATTTCATCAGTCAATAACACATCTTTGGGGCAAAGCTGACACTAATTTAAAAATCTATGAGGAGCAGCCCGCCTCATGTTCATAACCACTGGAGGAGGAGGAAGAGGAAAAGGAGGGCCCATGACAGCGTCCACAGCAGATCAATCACCATTGTGGCAGCTGTATGTGCCAAAGAACGATGGGGGAAGATGTTTCTGGAAGATGATGATGGGAGGAAAGGTGAAGAGGAGTTTCAGGGAATCATCTAGTAAGTTCAACGTGTATTAGAAGATGATGAAGAGAGACTAAAACCTAATACTCTGGGGGGATCAAAATAAATCTTACACTTATAACTTCAAATATCCTTACAATCTGCAGTCATAAAGACAGCCAAGCTAAACTTTCTCAGGATCCTCATTGAATAGACATGCCTGTCAGCTTAGTTAGCCTTTAAAATACTGCAAAACTTAAAAACCGAACCCATCTCCCTTACAGTACAATGAAGAACCTCAGCTGGTACTTTAGTTTATTCTGTCGATACTCAAGGCAATTTTTTTTTTTTAAACATCTCAGCCATATGACTAAGTAATTCTTTTCAGACTTTTCTTAATGTTTTTATTTTTTTCATATCAGAGCATGATGTGTTGTTGTCAGACAGGTCTATTTAAATTATTTCCTGACCCTACAAGTTAAGTCGGGCCTTTTTGTCAGGGGGGGATTTACCAATACTAGGCAGTTAGGCAACCAATACTAGGCAGTTAGGCAATACTCGGCAGTTGCCTAGGGCCCCAAGTTCCTGGGGGCCCCATAAAACTCTGTTTCCATGTATGGTTAATACAACTAATCCTTATTTGTGCACATTAATTATGTTTTTGATAAAAATCCTTTGGCTAAAATGCCATCAGAACGCTGATAAATAGAGAGGAAAAAGGGACAAGAAGAGAGGGAACAAATAATGGATGTCTATTCTATTAACATTTCTCTATCTGTAGAATGGGTCTGTTTTATGGGTTTTCTTCTCAGGGGGCCCCCTGCCTGTCTTTGCCTAGGGCCCCACATTTCCTAAATCTGCCCCTGCTTTTTGTAGTAGTGCAAGAATTGTTTGGGTCGAGTTTCAGCCTCATTGTGCGTCCTACATCGTGTGAAGACCACCTCCTGATCGGGAATCATACGGATGGATAAAAGTCAAACATGAAATTCAGTCTGCCCTTGTGAGGCGATCGTAAACGTATCCTGCTGTTCCAAAAAATGCTAAAACAATCGACTGGACGTTTCGAAGTTTGAAGACGTTTCGCTTCCCTTCCAGGAAGCTTTTTCAATTTAAATGTCAGAAATAGTGTTGAGTTCAAGGCTTTATAGAATTGACCAAACATAAAGCCATGTTTGGGTTTAAGCCGGGCTTACACTGCGATTTTTTTGCCCTTTTCGGACTGAATTTCCAGTTGTGCGTCAGCCTAATCATACATCGTGCATCGTGTAGTATACAGAGGGTAACGTGGGGCAATCAGCCTCTCACTACAAACTCCCGACCAGGTATCGTGAAGTTGGGAGAAAATCAAACATGAAATGCAGTTCTTTCTGTAGAATTGACAGACCGTAGTAGCCACGTTTGCTCAGCCATGTCTTTGTCCAATTACGTTGCCGCTTTTTCTTTTTAGGGCTTTCAGCACAAAATTGCCAAGGCAGCACATTTCACTTTAGTGAGCTTCATGTTCCTCCTTTACTGGTTTGGCTTCCAGATAGA